GTCTAGCTTTGAACCACGATGCTCAGATCTCAACCTCCTGAGTAGCTATGATTACAGGCATGAGCCACCAGCGCCCATTGTACTTCTTTGACCAGGAATTATTTAGATGTTTGGTATTTCTAAATGTATAGAAATGTCCTTATCCAGGTGCTGGTGGCTCACGCCTGTAATCCTAGCTACTCAGGAGGCTGAGATCTGAGCATCATGGTTTAAAGCCAGCCTAGGCAGGAAAGTCCATGAGACTCTTTTTTTAAAAAAAAATAAGTTTTTGTATTGTGAAACTACCATACAGAGGGGTTACAGTTACATGAGCAAGGTAATGAGTACATTTCTTATCAAGCATTGTTGCCTCCTCCTTTGTTTTTCCCCTACCATCCCTGCTCTCCCATCTCCACGACTACACTCCCCGACCCTCCGTCCCTGAGACTATCTCCAATTACCACCAGAAAACTAGAAGTGGCACCATGGCTCAAGTGGTAGATCCTTAGCCTTGAGCTGAAGAGCTCAGGGCAGTGCCCAGGCCCAGAGTTCAAGCCCCATAACCAACAACAACAAAAAAAGTCCTAGAAGGTTTTTGCCTGGTTGCTGTCCTCAAGCTTTTTGTACAAGGCTATCACATTATCCTTGGAGCCATAGCTCTACTTTTGGTTTCTTGGGAGTTAATTGGAGATAAGAGTCTTGTAGACTTTCCTGCTTTGAACTGAGATCCTCAGATCTCCACCTCCTGAGTAGCTAGGATTATAGGCGTGAGCCACCAACACCAGGCTGACTTTTTCTTGAGACAGAGATCTCACTATGTTGCCCAAGCTGGCCTTAAATTCTTCATCCTCCTGTCTTAGCCTTCCTACTGCTAGGATTACAGGAGTGAACCACCAAACCTGGCAAAATTGTATTTCTTTATCTAGGCCAACAATCTTTGTCTTTTGGTTGTAGCACTAATCTATTTATAGTTAAGCATCAATAGATTCGAATTTAGCACTACTGTCTTCATTATTTTCGGTCCCATCTACTCTCTGTCCTTTTTTCCCCCTCTGTCTTCCTGCCTACTTGTGAAGCTTTTCTTTTCTTTTTCTTTACTTTGATAGCACTAGAGTTTGAACTCAGGGTCTTCTGCTTAATAGGCAGGTGCTCTGTTTCTGAAACACACTTTTATCCCTTTTTGTGCTGTTTATGTTTCAGAGTCTCACTTTTTGTGGGTGAATGCTTGGATCTCAATCTGCCTATTTTAGATTTTCCATCGTAGTTGGGACAACAGCACACACTACAGCACTGGAGTCCTGCAGACTTTTCTGCCCAGGGCTAGCCTGAACTGTGATCCTCCTAATCTCAGATTTCTATGTAATTTAGAATGACAGGTATGCTAAAGTAACTATCAGTTGAGAAGCAATCTTGTGACCTTTTTTCACGTCGGCTGGTGGGCCTCAAACCACTATCCTCTTGATTTCAGCCTTCCAAGTAGCAAGGATTACAGATGGGAGACATTAGCAGCCAACTTTGCATTTCAGACAGGGGCTCCCTAACTTTGCCCAGACTGTTCTTGAGAGGGAACTTTCAAGCTTCCTACATCCACTATGTGAGAAGCTGGGATTATAAGTAGGTGCAACCACACCCTGCTCCGCATATTATTTTTATTTATTTACTTATCTACTTGGCTAGTCCTGGGAATTCAACTGTGGGCTTAGGCCCCTTCCTTGAGTTCCTTTTGCTCAAGGCTATCACTCTACCACTTGAGCCACAGCTCCACTTTGGGCTTTTTTTTTTTTTTTCTGCCAGTCCTGGGGGTTGATGGGGCCTGAACTCAGCCTGGGCACTGTCCCTGAGCCTCCTTTGCTCAAGGCTAGTACTCTACCACTTGAGCCACAGAGTTACATCTATTTGTGTGATACTGAGGAATTGAACCCAGGGTTTCATGCATGCTAAGCAAGCACTCTACCACTGAACCACATTCTCCCAGCCCTGCTTTTTTGGTGTTTAATGGAGGTAGGAGTCTCACAGACGTTTCTGCTTGGGCTGGCTTCGAACTGTGATCCTCAAAACTATCTCAGCACTCTCAGTAGCTAGGTTTACAGGCATGAGCCACTGGCACTCGGCTTTGACCTTTTGTTGTTTTGCTTGTTTTGTTTCTGGTGTTGGCCTTGGGCCTTGAACTCAGAGTCGGTCTTGTCTCTGAGCGTTCCTTCTCAAGGCTAGTGCTCTATAACTTCAGCCACAGCTCTAATTCTGGGTTTATTTATTTATTTTGGTCATGGGTCTTGAACTCTGGGCCTGGGCACTGCCCCTGAGCTTTTCAGCTCAAGGCTAGTGCTCTAGCACTTGAGCTACAGGACCACTTCTGGTTTCCTGGTGGTTTATTAGAGATAAGAGTCTCACAGACTTTCCTGCCTGAGCTGGCTTTCAACCACAATTCTCAGATCTCAGCATCCTGAATAGCTAGAATTACGGGACTGAGCTACCTGCACTTGGCTGACTTCTGGATTTTTGGTGATTAACTGGAGATGAGACTCATTGACTTTCCAGTCCAGGCTGGCTTCAAACTATAATCCTCAGATCTCAGCCTGAGTAGCTAAAATTATAGCTGTGAGCTGTAATTGACTTTTAATTCAGATGTTACATTCATCCGCAATTCATTCCCAAAATTCAAAGCCATCCTTTCTATATTCTGTTTTTTTGTTACTTTTCTTTGGGCTAAATAATGTACACTTTGTGTAAACTATTCAGGTCTGTAGTGGGAAGCAATGGCAAAGAATTTTTCCTGCTCCTGAGCTAGTATTTTCTCTGTTAGGCTTATTGCCTTTCACAAGCATTTCCCTTCTATCTTGAAGAAAGAATGATAGGCACAAGATAACATGGCTGAATGACGAGTAGTTTTACCTTGGTTTGTTTTAAAAATTGTGGTCTCGATTTTTCTTTCAAAATGTCCTATATCAAACTTCCTGGTGCCTGCACAATGTGAAGTCTAAATATTTTGAGTTCTATCCGAAAAAAATTGACCCTCCTGATTATCACCTGTCTCGTCTCTCTCCACACTTTTCTTCTCCCAGGATGCGTCTATTCCCAGCCCAGCCTTTTTTTTGGTCAGTTGTGGGGCTTGAACTCTGAGCCTGGGCACTGTCCTTCAGCTCTTCAGCTCAAGGCGAGCGCTCTACCACTTGAGCCACAGCACCACTTCTGGTTTTTTAGTGGTTTATTGGAGATAAGAGTCTCACGGACTTTCCTGCCATGGCAGGCTTTGAGCCGTGATCCTCAGATCTCAGCCTCCTGAGTAGCTAGGATTACAGGCGTGAGCCACCAGCTCCAGGCTCCAGCACACCTTTTCTTGAGGGGGAGGGGATGGAGGAAGGAGACAAGGATAGGCTAAGAGTTGAAGCAGGCCTCTCTCTACTTGGCTCTGGAATCTTCTGCTTCTTTTCCTGGAAACTAGATTTTGGAATTTGCTGCAATATACTATTCCCTTTTCTTTTCCTTTTTTTTTTTTTTGTCAGTCATGGGCCTTGAACTTGGACCTGAGCACTGTCCCTGGGCTCTTTTGCTCAAGGCTAGCACTCTATCCCTTCGAGCCACAGTACCACTTCCAGTTTTCTAGTGGTTAATTGGAGATAAGAGTCTCAAGAACTTTCCTGCCTGGGCTGGCTTTGAATCATGATCCTCAGATCTCAGCCTCCTGAATAGCTAGGATTACAGGCATGAGCCACCAGTACTCAGTTCCTTTCCCTTTTCTATGTTTGTTTGCTGTGGGTAAAATTTCTTTACTATATTTAGTATAGGTTCTAAGTTTAAAATATTCATATTCAACTGACCTTGGTAGCGCATACCTATTATTGCAGCTCTACTTGGGAGGTGGAGATTGAGAGGATCACAGTCCAAGGCCAGCCTGGATATAAAGTTAGCAAGACCTGTCTTAAGCAATAGTTGAGTGTGGTGGTATATGCCTGTCAACTAGAATGGGAAACATGAATAGGGTGGATGGCTGTCTAGGCTGACCTGGACATAAATGCAAGACCCTACCTCAAATCTAACCAGGATTCCGGGTGCTGGTGGCTCACACCTGTAATACTAACTACTCAGGAGGCTGAGATTGAGGATTGTGGTTCAAAAGCAGCCCAGGCAGGAAAGGCTGTGAGACTTTTATCTCCAATAAGCCACCAGAAAACTGGAAGTGGTGCTGTAGCTCAAGTGGTAGAGTACTTTCCTGCAAGCACAAAGTTCAAATCTCAAAAAAAATTGTAATGTCCCTCCCAATTTTCATATTCACCCACCAATAAAATTTTATAAGAGCCAGATACCCTATGATCCTGGCTATACAGGAAGCTGAGATCTGAGGATCACAGCATGAAGCCAGCCCAGGCACACAAATCTTAGAGACTCTTATCTCCAGTTAACCAGCAAAAAGCCTAAAGTGGAAGTGTGCCTCAAGCTGTGAATAGAAAAACCCAAGTGAATATGAGGCACTTTAGGGCTCAAGCCCCAGTAGTAACAAATAAATAAATAAGCCTTGTTTCTGTGTGTATTTGTGTGTGTGTGTGTGTGTGTGTGTACTTGCACACATGCTTTTGGTGGAATTTTCTTCCTTCCTTCCTTCTTTCTTTGATCTGCAGATCTCAGCCTTCTGAGTAGCCAAAATTGTAATCATTGGCCACTGGCTCTGAGTTCATTAATATTTCTACTGTTTCTTGTAGAAGTCTTGCAAACTTTTTGTTAAATTGTTCTTATGTGTTTTTTTATGTAGTTGTAAATGGCATCCTTTAAATTTTTGTTTTGTTTTCTCTTCATTGCCACCATAGAGATCTGCTTAGTGTTTTATATTTCATATAGACCCAATGTCCTGGGTAAACTCACATACGAATTGTAATGTTCTAGATGTGATTCTTTACGATTACCTGTGCGCATAATCATCGCCCGTGTGAAAGATGGCCGTCCTGGGCATTCTCTTCCAGTTTTGTGCTTTCTTTCTCCCCCCTGCAATCATTCTCTGCCTGATGGGTTTTCTTCTTTCTTTGCAGGTGAGACTGAGGCACATATCGATTACGAAGACAATTTTCCCGATGACAGATCTGTTTCATTCCGAGAAGTCATGGAAGATTCCAGAGCAGAGGCTGAAGAGGACAGGGGTCAAGAAGACACATCTGAAAAGATACCCAAACAGGACCGCCTGGTCCTAATTTCTATGGGGAGAGAAAATATAGCCCAAGAAAAAGCCTTTGTGCCAACCACAGGCTTGCCTGGCGCTGGGAGCAGTACCCCTACAGACTTGTCACAATCCCAGCTGAACCAGAAATCCTCCATCTGGTTTCCTGCTGAGACTTTCCATAAGTCAGAGTTGGAAAAGGAAGCCGACAATGGCACTACAAAGCAATTTTCTACTGGAGACAACCACAGTGGGATCAGCCTAGTGACAGGTGAACCTGAAACCAAGCTGATCTATGGTCATACCGATGGCCCCTCAGGACCATTTGTGGACAGGAACGACAGTAAAGCAGGGGACCCAGTGGTGAGCAGCAGTGATGAATCCTGGTTAGATGGCTACCCTGTGACCGATGGGGCTTGGAGGAAGGTAGAGGCAGAAGCAGAGGATGATGGGGACAAGAGTGATGGGTCAGTAGGACTGGATGAGAATGTTCCCGTGACTCCTGATCAGCTCTTTCTTGTAGAGGTTAAGAAGCCCAGAACTACCACTCACATGACCCACAGTTCAACTCTTCCACTGGCTCCCATGAATGTGTCTGAGAAGGAGCATCCGTATGATGGAGATGGGGATTTGACCACATATAAGTCAACTATTCCTTGGAGACTCACCACAGAGAAGTCTCCTCCAATGGCCACCCTGCCCAATGAGCACACCAGTTCTACCCTGGACACAATAACCACCATCACTGTCCAACAGGTTCCTAGCCACATGTTCTCAAGTAGCATGGCATCCACCCAACTTCCAGTAAAAACCACAGCTTCTGAGACCCAGGAGAGCTTCCCTTACCTGTTGTCTGAGGATTTCCTGGGACAGGAAGGTCCTGGGCCAGGTGCAAGTGAAGAGGAGTTTCTTCCAACCTTGGAGCCATGTGTGGGGGATGCATGTCCCAACCTCAGCAAAGGCCCTGTGATTGCTACCATTGTTACCATCCTGTGCCTGCTGCTGCTCCTGGCAAGCGTGGGAGCTGTGTGGGGCTACCGCAGGTGCCAGCACAAGAGCTCTGTATACAAGCTGAATCTTGGCCAGAGGCAGACCCGGCACTACCATCAGCAGATTGAGATGGAGAAGGTCTAAGTTGCCATTCGAATGGGCTCTCTGTGAGCCACTGGGTGCAGAATGAAGTGGGAGGCACACATCACACTGATAATTCACAAGAGTGCGGGTTGAGTGGGGCTCATCTTTTCTTCCTCAGGTTTTATTCTACAGGCTGAGTCATGACTCTGGAGGCAGGTAGTGGGGCAGGAAGGTTTGATGGCATCATTGATGTCAGCATCTCCTTAGTCATCTGGCCTGGAACTGATGCCCTAATCCCAGGTCTGGGTTTGGACCTAATTCCAACAGAAGGTTAAAAAATCACTTCTTGTTTCATCCAACTATTGTCTTTGATTTTTAAAGAAAGAAGATCCCTGTCCTGAAACTAGTTTTCTTAAACAAAGCCTTTGAAGGAAATGTTGTTTAGGATATAGATGTTTAGTTGTTGAATGGGATATGGAAGAATAATGAGTTATTTCCTTTTAATGTTGTGATATGGCTGAGGCAAATCAGCTAAGAACCAAGACATAGTCTAGAAACTAGGTTTCTTTTCACAGAACTGAAGGGTTTTTTGAACTTCTTGTTTTTATTTTTTTTGTCAGTTCTGGGGCTTGAACCTAGGGCGTGGGAGCCATAGATGAGCTTCTGTTGCTCAAGGCTAGTGCTCTACCACTGGAGCCATAGCTCCACTTCCAGCTTTTTGGGTAGTTTATTGGAGATAAGTCTCACAGACTTTCCTGCCTGGGCTGGCTTTGAGCTGATCCTCAGATCTCAGCTCCTGAATAGCTAAGATTATAAGGTGCCAAGCCTTTGCTTTGGAGAGGTGAATGAAGATACACACTCATCCTTGTCTCTTCCATTCTGTAGGACAGCCCATCATTTTTCAAAACCAACGGGAGCTTTGTACCAGTAAGGACCATTTCTATTCACTCTCCTGGAACAGTATGTGTCTAGAGGCAGTGGACAACTAGTAGAAATTTCTATCAAGACTTATAACAAAACTCAATCTAGTTTTCCTCTCTCAGAATTAACTATTTCTAGGCCAGAGGTGTGACTCACTGCCTAGCAAGCATGAAGAACTGAATTCAAACCCCAGTACCACCCCTCATAAATTAACTCTTTCTCCAGTAAAAGGGAATGATATGGGAGGAAAAAAATGTTTGAAGATGGTCAAAGACTAGGATTTAAGGATTGGTACCCACTTGATGGAAAAGAGGAGGATTTAAAAGGGACATGGATGATCTGGACTGATCTATTCTTCACCCAGACATTGGGTTGTGTCTCAAAGTATTCTAACATTAAATCTCAAACGGTGGTTCTCTAACCTGCAGCATCAGTACAACCATGGGGCTTGTTGGTGATACAGAGTCTCTAATCCCACCCTACTCAGGAGACAGAAAACCTGGGAGTGGAGCTAGCTCTGAATTTTTTTGTTTTTATGCCAGTCCCAGGGCTTGAACTCAGGGCCTGGGCACTGTCCTGAACTCCTTTGCTCAAGACTAGTGCTCTACCACTTGAGCCACAGCTCTATTCTGGCCTTTTTGGTAACTAATTGGTGATGAAATTCTCACAGATTTTTCTGCCCCAGTTGGCTTTGAACCGTGATTCTCCTATCTCAGCCTCCTGAGTTGCTAGGATTACAAGTGTGAGCTACAAGCCCTGGCTTAGCTCTGTGTTTTAACAAGCCCCTACTGGTGGTTCTGATATGTAGTAAAATTTGAGAGCCATTGGCTACCCTGAGCTCTCTGTTCTGTGCAACCTTTGGAAAAATAATAGACTAAATAGTCAGGAGAGAATATCGCATAATCAAAGATCTTAATCACCACAACTGGGTAAAATGAGGGACTGTGGAGGTAAGGTGGAATACTATGCATCAGATGAAATCTAGAATAAGAAACGCTTTCTGTGTGTAGCCAAAGCAGAACACAACAGAATAAAAGCCAGCCAGAGACTGTACATATTCTTAAATCAAATTCTAATCTATTGCAAGATAACATTTCTATTTGTAACTATATAAAAATAACCTCTGTCTCAACGATGGGATTATTCCAGTAACTATGATTATGTAATAATTCAAAATACTGAATTTACACCAGCACACAAGGAAGTAATATTAATTAAAATGTGTTAATAAATTTATTGCAAATTATTAATCCATATAAAGTATTATTTTGAAGACTCACATGGCAAAATAAATCCAGCACATCTGTTTGGAAGTTTTTATTGATTTGGTATAATCTAAATGTTACAGGATCTAAAAATATGTATCAAAAGGGAATGACTGAAATACTATAAACCTAAATAGTATGTCATTATAAACGCTTGAGACTGGTAAATGTTTAAGGAGGTTTCATTAACACAAAGCTTCTGATATATTTAAAATAAAAAATTATTTCGCCAAACAGTTGTTAGCTTATTTATTTGTTTATTTATATATTTTTAGGGTGCTGGTCCAGGGCTGAACTCTATTCTTGAGCTTTTTTGTTCAAGGCTAGCACTCTACCACTTGATCCATAGATCCACGTCTGGCTCTTTGGTTGTTAATCAAAGATGAATCTCACAGACTTTCCTGTCTGGGCTGGTTTTGCACTGCAATCCTCAGATCTCAGCCTCCTAAGTAGATAGGATTACATGAGTGAGCCACCATCACCTAGCACTAGATTTATTTTGTTTCTGGGTTAGCTACAAGTGAGGCACTCTACCATTTGAGTCATACTCCTAACTTTGCTTTAGTTATTTTTCTAAAAGTTTCTTATGTTTTGTCTGAGCTGGCCTAGACTGAGATCTTCCTATTTACACATGCTGTACTGCTAGGATGGCAGGCACATACTATCATGCCCAGCTTTTAGTTGGGATGGTATCTCACTAACTTTTTGTCCAGGCTGGCCTCAAAACACCATCTTCCTGATCTTTGCCTTTCCATGAGCCACACTCAACATTCTCCTTTTGTTTGAAAGACTCTCTAGTAATCTTGAAAAAAATGTCTTAATACCACTTTTGGAGCTGAGAAGGTGGCTCAGTGATAGAGTGCTTGCCTTGCATGCATAGGGTCCTGGGTTTGATTCCTCAGCACCACATAAGCAGAAAAAGCTAGAAGTGGTGCTGTGGCTCAAGTGGTAAAGCACTAGCCTTGAGCTGAAGAGCTGAGGGACAGCGCCCAGGCCCAGAGTGCAGGCCCACAACCAACAATAAATAATTAATCAATCAATCAATTGATTAATTAAACTACCACTCTCTTGAAGCCAAACCTCAGCTATATTACTACTTGCTGCAGGATTTCTGGGAAGTCTATAGAGTTCTTGCCCCTCTTCCTTCTGTCTTTTCCTCACCCCAACCATAGAGGTATATGCCTGTGGGCCAGGAGGGTTAGATGGAGAGGCTGTCAGCAAAGGTTGTGGGCAGGATTAAGAGAAGCATCAAAGAATAACAAAGGGATGGGAATGTGGCTTAGTGGTAAAGTGCTGTCTAGCATGCATGAAGCCCTGGGTTCCATTCCTCAGTACCACATAAACAGAAAAAGCTGGAAGTGGCGCTGTTGTTCAAGTGGTAGAGCTCTAGCCTTGAATAAAAGAAGTTCAGGGACAGTGCCCAGGCCCTGAGTTCAAGTCTCAGGACTGGCAAAAAAAAAAAAAAAAAAAAAAAGAATAGCAAAGAATCCAACCACGTTTCAGTAACAGAAAGATGCTCAGGACAAGAACTCTGGCTTTTCTAATAGCAGTTTTTAAAAGCTAAATTGCTGTAGCAAATTTCTGGGCATTCTCAATACTTGAATATGGAACATGTACACAGGGAAAAATATAAACATTGCACTTTATAAAGCACTGTATTGTAAGTGGAAAATGTAATGTCTTAAATAAATATATTTAAAATTGGCAAAAAAAAAAAAAAGAACTCTGACTTGTGGAGAAAAAGCTACTGTCTAGCTGTGGCTTGAAAGAAGCCAATGTGGCTAGGAATGTAGCTTAGTGGTAGAGTGCTTGCCTAGCAGGTACAAAGCCCTGGGTTCAATTCCTCAGTACCACATAAACAGAAAAAGCCAGAAGTGGTGCTGTGTCTCAAGTGGTAGAGTGCTAGCCTTGAACAAAAGAAGCTCAGGGACAGTGCCCAGGTCCTAAGTTCAAGCCCCAGGACCGAGAAAGAAAGAAAGAAGAGAGAGAGAGAAAGAAAAGAAGAGAGAGAGAGAGAAAGAAAGAAGAGAGAGAGAGAGGAAGGAAGGAAGGAAGGAAGGAAGGAAGCAAGCAAGCAAGCAAGCTCAGGGACAGTGCCTAGATTCTGAATTCAAACCCTAGACTGGCAAAAAAAAAAAAAAAAAGGAAGAAGCAAATATATTAAGAACCCAACCTCATCCCTCACTCTGCAATCTATTGTAGGCATGTTCCATTTGCAATAAGTTAGAGGCAAGGGATCTCAGCCAACATGGACATAGGAATCAGGTAAAGGTAGAAGAAAAGCTCAAAGACTTCCGGCATCAATGCCATATGCACTGTGGCACCACTGAGCATCTACGCCTTCAAAGGCTGCATGTGTGAATACTGTAAAGATCCCATCCAGATCCTCACCAGGCAGCTGAACCCTTTTCTAGATTCCCTCAGTATCTCCTATTGAAATGCTCATTAGTGCTGGAAGCTGGTGGCTCTTGTCTCTAACCCTAGCAATTTAGGAGGCTGAGATCTGATGATAACATTTGAAGCTATCCCTGGCAGGATGAGACTATCTCCAGTTAATCACCTGCCAGAAGTAGAGCTGAGGCTTAAATGGTGTAGTGCTATCCTTGAGCTAAAAAGCTAAGGGACAGTGTCCAGGCTCTGAGATCAAGCCCTAGTACCAGAACACACTAAAATACTTATTAGAGCCAGGTGCTGGTGGCTCTTGCCTGTCATCCTAGCTACTCAGGAGGCTGAGATCAGCGGATCATGGTTCAAACCAGGCCAGGGCAGGAAAGTCTGTGAGAATCTGATCTCCAATTAACCACCAAGAAACAAGGAAGTGGAACTGTGGTTCAAAGTGGTAGAGTGCTAGCAGAAAAGCTCAGGGACAGTAACCAGGCCCTGACGTCAAGCCCCATGACCAACCAAAAAAACAACAACAAAAATTCCGTAGTTAAGCACCTAAGAATACCCATTTACCTGGCTAGACTGGTTGCCCAGGGATACAATAGGCCAGCTCTTTAAGATGGGGCTTGATTTATGGTATTATCCATGCATTAGGCCACAGTGAGATAGGGCTGAAGC